CTATGTCGTGTACATGCCAACTGAACTGTACCTGTGCGACGACACAATGGGAGGGCACAACCATCATCCTGTGGAGAGGTCCTTTCACTGTTTGTGGTAGAATCAGCAGGATTGCTCTCCGGGGGGTGCAGTACTTGCAAATGCTCATCGGCATACTGTTCCTGATGGATGAGCCAGACTGAGTGACCCTGGTCACCATGATGACATCACCCTTCAAAAAAAAAAAAAAAAAAAAAAACGAGAACTCAATCGGGCCACTGGTTTTGGGGCCTCACTTGATGTCACCATGGTGACATCACACCACACGCCATGAATCAGACAAAACGGCAAAACCAACGGCCAAATCGCAAACCCGCAATAGCGACGTCTCTAGACATCCATGCAGCCAAATGCAGATAACGGTAACGTCACCAAGAAACAGATAATAAAAATGAAAAAGGGAAATAAACGAACCCACGGAAAACGGGACACCGGCGTTTCTAGACATTCATGCAGCCAGATGCACATAACAATAACGTAACCAAGAAACAGATGAAAATGAAAAAGGTAAAAAAAGAAAAAGGGAAAAAGGACAAAAAATATGGCGGTGTATCTTGCCATGTTCCAGCAGTATATTCATTCTCATTTTGCACATTTGGTGAGCAGTGGAGCCAGAACCGATCTCACATCCACTACAGAGATCCGACGGGCACTTCTGATGACGTTACATCCACACTCCACCGGATCCGTTACATCCAAACTCCACCGGATCCGACTCCACCGGATCCGACCGACAGATCGGACAAAGACAGAAGAAAACAATCCCGCAAAACCCCTCCCCTGGCACCCCAACTGCACAACCTACCGGTCTTCAATGACTGGCGTCAAAATTTCGGCCGCCGGCCACAACTTCAGGTCGTGAACGGATTCCCCACCACTCTAACCCCTCTCCCTTAATCTTGCCACCCTCCCAACGACCATCTGACGCCCGGCTACCTGTACACACCCAACAACCACCAGCATGTTCGACACAAAACGACAAACAACGTTGACGATACATCAGATCACCAGCAAAAGAAAAATATGGTTTTTTTTCTTTTGCTGGTGACCTGATGTAACGTCATCATATGCGGTTGTTACACCCCTGGGCCTTGTTACACCCTGGGGCCAAGTACCACTAGTAGCAGCATTGAGTTCAAAGCTCGAATCTGGACTTCTTTGTGGTGATGTGCAGAAGATTGTGCTGGTTTTCAGCAGCTGCACATCTTCATAAACATCTGTACATTCGGGCGCTAGTGATGTTTTTTCTTTTCTTTTCTTTTATTTTAGTTTAGACGTCATTTCACAACGGAGAAGACATCAACGGCCATCGTAGGAGCGTCTTCGTTGAAAACACAATCTGCCTGTCGGATAAGGGGAGTGGACTTGACCTCATTGTATGCAGTCATTGCCCTGGGGATGCATGTGACTGCAGTCATGTCCAGAGGTGAGTGGAAAAACATTGTCCTCCAGCAAGGGGTTGGCCGACACTACGGGCTGCGAGCCCGCGTCCTCGCGGTATGTCAGTGATTCAACACGCCCGCTGAAGAAAGCCCAACCGTTACGACGACAAAGATAGAGAGAGAATTAATAAACGGCCAGGAAGACGTTATACCATCCCCCCTGCCTACAATCTGTGCGTAGAATGCAGTGCAGCCATCCACCAAATGCGGGTAGCCTTCTTTTCTCTCCCTTTCCGGGTACCCATCTTCCCCCCCACCTAATGCTCTCGTACCTCGAGAGAGCCATCTCTTTTTTTCTCCCTTTTCGCGTTGCCGATCCCTAAGAGACACCCCCTTTTCAGTGTACCCATGTTTTTTGTTTTTCCTCTGCATCTAAAGCCTGAAGGTAACTCTATTCGAATTTGAGTCTGTATCTCAACAGTTGGGGGGTGTACCAACCTAGCTACGGTAGGCCCGAGGGTACCCATTACGAGAAAAAGAAAGAAAAGAAAGAAAGGAAACCAAATGAGGGAAAATTGTTGAAATACCCCTAAGACTTTGGGTTTGTTGTAAAATACCCCTAAAACACAGGGGTACACCTGAAATGTCCCAAACGTCTGCATCTGCCCCCGTCCCACTCATTGGCAACTTCGCCATGTGCCCACTGGCCCTGGGATCCAGGGGCCCGTGGATTTCTTTTCCATATGCCCTCTGGGCCCTGGCCCTGGGCTGCAGGAGCCCGTGCATTTCTTTTGCAATCTGCGGGGTCCAACGGAAAACTGGGGAATATAGAGACAAGTTGTCCAGGGCCCGGTAGGGGTATATGCAAAAGATGACACATTCAAATGGCAAATGGGGTATTCGGTAACGTTTCACTACTGTCATGGGGGCATTTTGCCATACCCATGCCTTTTAAGGGGTATCTGACCAAATACCCAAACTTTCCGGGGCATTTCAACAATTTCTCTTGAAAATACTGGTGACAATAATAATCGTGCTCACTGCTCAGGAATGATCACAGTCACTGGCGGGAGTTTGGGGCTGGAGTTGGAGGACTGGAATCAGGGGAATATTGTGCTGCATAGCAAACAGAAAGGGAGTATAGCCGCACCCAGGCGAACAAGTCGGCCAGATTCATCCGTAGGGACCCGGCGCTCTATTCCGGAAATTTAAAGAGTCCGGCTTGGCCCGGCTATAGTTTGGATAGATGAGCTGACGTTCTGCACGGGTAAAGACGCACCAGTTATCAGTCGGTAGCTCCAATGGCCCCACGTTCTATTCCCGAAGAGAATGAGCCGATGCTCTACTTGGGAAGAGAATGACCCCGTGTTCTACTATTCCGCAAGAGAATGGCCTTACGCTTGGTAGCTCTCTAATGATCCCACACTCTATTCAGGAAGAGAATCACCCCATGCACGCTCTACTCGGCAAGAGAACAACCCAACTCTCTGTTCTGAAAGAGAATGACCCCGTGCTCTATTCAGGGAATTGCTCGTAGCTACTTCACAGTGTAGCACTGCAGCAGTGATCGTGAGGTGCTCTTTGCTGCGATGACGGATTGGATGTCCCTTTTTTTTTCTTTCTTTTTTTTGGACGGATTGGATGTCCCACCAGAGAAGTTGCGGTCTTCGTGCTGGTAAGAACTACCGTTTTGGGAAAATTGCATCTGTACCTCACTTAAGGGTGGGAATATTCTCGACTCCCAATCCCAGCGCCAACTTGCATCTGTACCCGGAAAACGGTCCGCCTCCCTGAGAAAATTATTTGCATGCCCAGGACACAGGTGGACCCAGGTTGGTACCGCTGCTAGTACCGCATAATTGCGGCTATAAGCAACTACCGGAATGCACAAATTATGGTCATACGGACTCATACCCAGGCAAAATTATGGGCATATCAGGAACTGAGGTCGACCGGCGAAATTATTCATGTACCCAACTGCTGGATCATTGTAGTCACCTTGTACGGAGACGGCCCATCCGTACTCCCGTACGACCGTACGTACGGGCCCTGAGCACCAGTACGGGCCATACGTACCGACTTCGGGCCCTCCGTACGTGGCCTTCCGGGGGGGGGTTGGGAGGG